TACCGGAGGCATTGGAAACTACTTGGGCGGGAAATTTGCCTAATTTGGCTCAGAGGTCTCCTAGAGACATGAGGTTCTTTTACGTGCCGTAAATCTACGACACGGGACCCACGGCTTAAAGTCCCTCCCGGAGGACTTGTTCCCTGAATTTTTCCGCCCTTAAAAATTCCACGACCTCCGCCGGGTTTGAACCCGCGTACCTTGAGTCATGAGGTGGGCACGTTACCCCTAGACTACGGAGGCCACTAGCTCCATGAGTAAGTACTGAATCACGATTAGTGTTTCAGCGCAAACGTGAATGTCCTTCCAGGACTTTTTCGACTTGCTCACGTTTAGCTTTTTTTACGAAGTCTGTTTTTATAGGAAAAAAATGCTGCAAGTGGACATACATTATTTTCTTGCTAGATTTTATGCTTCGAATCAATAATGGTGTTGATAAGTGCAACAATTCTTCCCTTGAAATGTCACAACGGGCTTTATGCTAGCCTATACACAAGCGCCGGCCAAGATGCCGGTTGGACAGGATCGAATGCTATTAAACAGACGATAAAAGTAAGCGACCTCTATAACAAGGACTTAGAAATGCAATACAAGCGTTGCTAGGAAACAGAGGAAAGACATGGCGTCACTTCATCTAATACCGTATTTATAATCCCAGCGCATCCGAAACATTGCGTGAGCTGAGTGTCACACACCCGAGCCAGGGGCTGCCCTCAGTTCCCTCCCTAACAAGCGGCCTACAGACCAAACTGCTGTAAATTTTGTTTCAACGTCAGTTCAGAGCATAAGTTCAAGTGTCCTGAGTGCTGCGCGTGTACATTGCACGAGTAAACAAATTACTGTTGATCTCGAAACAAATTGGACACAGGCCTTTCTCTCGCAAGCTGCGATGTACTGGCTTGGCAACTCTCTTCACGAGCCGAAAACCGGCTATCCTGGAGGTGTTTATGATATTCCTATGTAGGATCTGTTCAAATAGTATCCTTTGTCCTACAGCATGTTCAAACAGATCTTTGTCCCACTTGGCCTCCTGCACTCCCAACAAACCTAAGTTACTCTTTAACGTTATAAGATGATCCAGTGTCATTTCCCCCGCCACATATCTTACGTGAAGTCACGTGGACAACTGCCCGCTGCAATACATGCGCAATGCAACCGTGCTGGAGCCTGTCCAAAGGAATGCAACCCGTTATCAATAACCCTCAACTTTCACTCAACTTCCTGTTCAAAGCCCAAAATGGGGTACAGCCACCACCCTGGGGTACGACTTTCCTCACTTACTGAGTCAGATAAGAAGTTTTCTGCTATTATGGAACCTATCAGTCATCACCATTTTCACAAACGCCCTGCACTGGATCTCATCCCTCAATCCAGTTCACATCCCCACAATCTAATACCTCTAAGATTCATTTTAATATTGTTTTCATCTCTTTCTCAGTTTTCAAACTGATCATTTTCTGGAGGGGGTTAAAATAAAATTCCACATGCTGCTGTCTCCCCATTTCAAGCATGACGATCAACCCACTGCCTGTTTCAACATCAGGTGACCTGTATAAATCTCAAACTTCCTCATTGCATCTCCGCTCTGTCCAACCATTTATCTGAGCACTTTAATTTTAGTCATTTCATTATAAAGAGAGTCTGTTCTAATTTTGTGAACCGGTTCATGGTTCTGCGCTTCACAACGACCGGTGCGCTGTTTGCCACAAGGACCGTATGATTTTTGCCGATGAATCAGAATGCCTGATGGCCCATAACGTCTGGAATTAAGAGAAGTAATTAATTTGTGGACCGTTTTCCGGCATTATGTTTCACAGCCATAAGTGTGGTTCATGCATGGTACTTTGTTTATGATTTGTCATCAATAGGCATCAATTATTAGCTCCATTAGAGGAACGTGTATTTCTGTATGAGACCATTCTGAAAGTTATCGCCCGCCAGGCATGTTGGTTCAATGTAAAAATTCGCATGCGACTCACAATCTGTGGTGCACAGGTCGCTGTGAAGCTCAGAGCTATGGAACTGGTCAACAAAGTAAAAACGCTTGCTGTATTTATAAACTCAAAATTACAAGCAAAACCTACCCGGACGTGGTATCAGACTTCTGACACAAACCTACCACCGAGCACACCTTTACACGTGTGAACTACAACACCAGGAACACCAAACTCTACACCATCGAGTGATCACAGAACTGGGGCCCTTCAACATTCATGTAATGAAGACTGTCACACAAAACCACTCTTTACCTACAGCTGATATCTTCACAGATAACAGGACAAAAACAGCACATAACACACCAACATCATTCTCTTATCTTATACAGACTGTAATGCAGAAAATCTACTTCATACAGAGCACACAGCATGACCTCATGCTGTTATGACTCATACTTGATGATCCTGTATCACCACAGCTATACAAAACATGAAGGCTACACCACATGTCACAGCTGAGTGGATAGAGCTCCTGCTTCAATTCTCAGATATGAGAGAAGTCATTTTGACTGAGCGTTTTCTCTGCCTTCCTCAGTCCCTCCAGGAAGATGCTGGGACAGTATCTCAAATTAGGCCACGACTGCTTCCATCCACTATCATTTACATTTCATTTTCCACCATCATCAAATCATTCAATGTTATAAAGTGTCAGTTACTTACAGCATCATTAATAAACTAAAAATAAATCAATTCTCTTGACAATCTCTGACCAGGATTTGCTGCTGCAAACACAGCCAACAGGAAACAGAGCACTCTACAGCCTTTCAATACAACTTAACAACACAGAGCACTAGTGCCCTGAATGACACATGACCGCAGTGTTCAGACAGGGCAACAGAAAGCAGTAACAGCAGGCCAGTCCTTAGCATCTGTAATTCATGTTAAGTGCGTCCCCTGTCACAAAGGCATGGCATCAGCTGCAAGCATACTGAGTAAGCAGTCTCAAACAGCAGACAAGGGGTGGCCTCCAGCTTGGTGGCTGATGAGACATAAACAAATCAACATGTTACAAAACAACAGAGGGTGCCTTAGCCTTGAACATATCCCTTGGAATGACACAAGCAACAGAAAATGATGAACAAAAAATAAGATATTAGAACATGGACCGCATATGCAGCACATGGCAAGGACCAGTGGTGATGTCTTGTAAATGCAGTAATCATGGCAATATCTTGAGTAGTGGTACAATTATCAGTTTCTCAAGGATACTTCTGCATGTAGTTCACTTACTTCATGGACCTGAACCCTTCTTGAGTAGCTGCCAGTTGTGCAGCTACTCAAGAATTTCACAGCAGTTCATGGAGCCCAAAGGTTCATTACCATGTTCACAAGGGCCCTCCACTGGTCACTATCCTAAGCCAGGCCAATCCAGTCCATACCATCCCATCTTATCTTTCTAAAATCCATTTTAATACAATTCACCCACTTACAACTTGGTCTTCCTAGTGGTCTCTTTCCTTCTGGCTTTCCCACCAATACCCTATATGCATTCCTCTTTGCCCATTCGTGCTACATGGCCTACCCATCTCATCCTCAATCACGTGATAATTCTAACTACAGTTGGTAAAGAGTACAAGTTATGACTTTGCATATAGTTAGTTAAAGTCAGAAGTTCATCGAAGGTTGGACACAGACAAATAAACACATATTTCAGAACTCTTCAAATGCACTTTATACACTGGTAATGTCATGTGAAAGCTACATAACAACAGTCTTCTCAAGCTCACAACATATGGAGAGAGATGAGAACAAGAAAGCGTTCCAAATCGTGTTTCCTCTAGGGCACATGCAGCCCACGAGCAAGTTCTGGGCCGCCTTCAAGGGGATTCTTCCAATCCCAAAAATATATGTTAAAATTTTCCTACTCTTTAAAAAGCGAAGTAAATCCTATTAAATTAACTTTACAAAGAGTCCTAACTAAATATTGTGTAATTTTTAACTGATTTCACATGACACATAACAAATTACATAAAAACATGGAGCTAAAGTGACTCAATACACAATATCAGTACAATTCTTCACACCTCTAGTGGATTACTTTTAAGAACCATTAACCCGGCAACACTACCAGCTTCATTATGTGCTCACAACAATTGCACTGCCCGATCACCCAAGATTAAAAATAGTATTCTATTTTATTCCCACTGATCACTGATTGATTTTTTAATTTTTTAATTTCTGTGCGTAAGATTACAGTACATGGTCTATTGAATTTAAGTAAGTGCTTTTAAACTTCAGTCATTCAATTCTTATTCATGAACTTGTGCTTCACTGCTGTATCAGTGTACTGGAGAACATAATTTTTACAATGAGGCAAATGGGTACATACACACAAGATACAGTGCAATCCCTCAGTGATCTCAAGTTTGACAGCCCTGGTTTACATGGTTTCTGGATCAGACTACAGCTGAATGTGTTACTATTGGGCAGAAATAGCTTTATGATTAATAATTTTAATAGGGAAAAATGTTTCAGGCAGGTGCCCATACTGAAATCTTCTACTACTGGCTGACTTAGTAGATTTCATAGCCACATATTAAAATGCTTTGTTAATATATTTCCCCCCTCCCCAACACGATTACATTCCGAAAGGGTAGGATCTGACATTCTAATACGCAAAGAAACCTTCCCAACCTAGCATTATTCAATTTCTAAGCATTACTAAAAAGTTATTTCTTTCCATATGACATGACACGATGTTTTATGTCAATGATCAACATGATGTGTACCAACGAAAATATCAATTACATAAAATTTTTGTAGTAACAGACCGCCGTCGCCCACATATCTTGGGACACGCGAGGCGATGCTTAGTCTATAATGAGAATTTTCTGTTTGTCTACTCCTGTACCCCAGACAGACAGGCATGGCCCAGGAATGCCTTTCATCGATCCGTCAAGATCCGTTCCACAGAAAGAGATCGAATGTAGGAATGCCGATAGTCAGGATGGTAAACTTCTGCAATCCAATCAATGTACTATAAAATAGAATTCAATTTCTTACCTTTATACACTAAAATCTGGAATTATACCTATTAACAACTACACACCTAACAACGCGCAATTTACACCATTTCACTCGTACTGCAACATAATCCTGCTAGACAGCAGCACCGTGAGAGTGTCAAATATTGAAAGAAAGATATTCCTATTGATCTGAGCACAGCAATTACATGACCGAATTCATTTTCCAACGTTATGTTAAATGCATCGTACAAATTTACATCTGCCAGCACCTGTAATACATGAAAGGTTATCTGATGTTGACAAAGAACTGTTTAAACATTAAAAGCTGAGTATAATATAGAGCACATTGTCTTGTTACAATTTGCTGTCACGTACGGCAACTTTTCAAACTATTAACTTTGATTTCGATCTCTCGTTCACGGTTCCTACGAACCACCCTTTTCTATCACAGAGTGATTTCAGAATATAACAGATGTGCATCACATGGTTACTAAGTTTATTGTGGGGATTATAAACTGTGACGTACAACGAAGGAAAACAACTTTATAAATTGCAATTTGAGGTTATGTTTTTTTGATATTTGATATATAATAAAATGAACGTCAGTAATGACAATAATGAAGAATATGAAGGAGCGAAGGACGTACAAGGGGGCAGCGGGAACAACTGTACAAACGATAACACAACCTTAACAGTATCCCAAAAGGCAAGAATTGAGAGAAATAGACAAACTGCATTACTTTTAAAACAAGCTAGGCTTATACCCCATCCTTATGCTAAAATGTAAGTATACTTTTAATGTTATGTTGTTATACTACATATCAGTTTCTGCCCAGCGATTGAAGAATGTCAATAAGAGAAAAGAGAACTGGCTAATAATTATCGCAACCGTATCACCACATCTTCATATTATTCACATACAGTGACTACAGGAACTGCCAATTCTTTAGAAGCCATGCATCCAGTGACTGCATCTGTGGTTCTCTTTTGGCCAACACATTGAAAATATGGTAAAAATAGGGTAAAGCTGCACCTGTAACAGGCTGTGAAGGCCCATAGATGTGTGCGAGGTCAAAGCTCCCACATCTTGTAAACAGTTGGCTCATAGACGGCGGTAAGGTTGTCAGCCTTACGAGCCGGCCATCCTTTACCCCCCCAGGAAGATTCCTGGTACTCATTTTTGTTAGAGGCTGAGTCAACCCCAGGGCCATAGTGCAGCTGGAAGGATTATGTCAATTGTAAAATCCAGTGACCTCACTGGGATTTGATCCCTCGACGTTCCAGCTTGTAGCATAGTGCCTTAACCAACTATGCTACTGGGTGGCCCCAGAAGGAGTTTTAATCTGCCCAAAATCCAGTTATGGTAGGGAGTTCAGAAAATTACAATAAAAATGGTTAGCGTAATGTACTTCACACGTACTGTCTCTAAATTAAAATTCGCACATATTCCTGTACAATGCCATGTAATTTCTAGGCATGCAACAAGGACACAGAATCAGGTGGAAATGTGTATATCAGGAGTATTGTTTATTATATATTGATATTTATTATACAAGCAAATAGTGACAAGACACTGTTGTGTTGCTGCACAGCTGGTGATAAGTGCTGAGTGGAAGTAAGAAATGTACAGTCAGACACTGGCTTTGCTGTTGCTCATGTTACTCAGCACAGAGTGGTACACCTTTTGGTTGACCTGTACAATATAGTCTCCAGTTGCTCTGTCAATGTACAAATAAAACTGAAACAAATGTTTCTGAATTCCATTTATTTTTCAGAAATACGGCCGATTCTGTAGAGAAGAGTGTGATTAAGGTCCAGGGCAGTAAGTTCATAGACACTGGTGGTGGATTTTTACTGGAGGAGAAAGTGGGAGATGATGAGGATGATGAACCGGTATGAACATTGGAGTGAGAAGTTACACTAAGATAGAGTTCACGTAGAATAAACACTGCTGGGATGCGAGATGCAGCGCACACATGTAAAGCTACCTCTGCATGGAGCCCAGCTCATCTCTCTGTACTGATCCTCATTCTTACAAATGCTCTGAAGACTGTATATGGTGTGGGTGAAGTGCCACTACCTACACTGAGGCCAAGGAAATAAGTCCTGTGGACTGACTCCTCAGTTTCCCTTCCTGGCATGCTTGCCTCTGTTCTCTTTGACTCATAGCCATCCAGTTCACGTGTATGAACCTTTGCTAGTAACAAGTCCTTTTTGGGTATGTTGACATAGGCCAGAAGGGGGTTGGAGGAGAATACAGCAGTAGGTAAAAAGATGGAAGCCTCAAGTGCTGTCATTCCCACCATCAGTGAGACTTCTTTCCATGGCCTCAGTATAGTTCCAGGCAATTGAGTCACAGGGGATAACCATTACATCAGGTGCAGAGGAATTTAACTACAAAATTCCTTCATTTTGACCATATTATTTCCAAGCAGGTCAGGCAATGGTAACACTGTGAACTTGTATTTCGGAGGGTGGTTGGTTCAGATCTTGGCCAGGACACCACCTTTCCTAACTGAGGTTTCTTGTGGTTTTCTTCAGTTCCTCCAGACAACTGTTGGGATAGTATGTGGTGAAATTCTGATCTCTTCCTTCTGAATCCTCTCCAACTCATTCTTCAGTATTCATACCACCGTTCAGTGCAGTAGTCTGAAATACTGACAGCAGCATAAAATGAACCATACAAAAAAAAAAAGGAAGCATATTAACAAGTCTAATCTGTCTGCCCATTCTGTTTTTCATTGTGAACATCATTACTATAAATGGTAAATCATAGTTTTCTGTAAACTTATATGATAAAATTACTCCATCTAAGGTAAAGGTAAAGCTATCCCTGTAACAGGCCATGGAAGCCCATAGGATTGTCAGACTTTGAGGATGCCACATTTTCTAGACAGTCAGCTCACAGATGGTGGCGAGATTGTCAGCCTTATGTGCCAGCCACCCTTTACCCCCAGGAAAATTCCTGGTACTCAGCCTGGAGGCTGAATCGACCCCAGGGCCATAGTGCGGCTGGAAGAATCAGGCCACTTGAAAAATCCAGTGACCTCATTGGTAATTAATTATATTGGTAATTATAATCAAATTCGCAACCTTATGCACATTCTGTAATTCCCTGGCTTCCGCAGTACCAGCATGGTTCTTGTGTGAGCACCAGACAGTACCACTGGGTTCGGGAACCAAACATGTTCAACATTTCATAAGCTGAGCTACTGAGAGCACCCTTAAAGAGGTGACAGTAAAGTAGCCCATGTTCCTAATTAAGCATCATGCTATGGTGGTATAACTCCATGAATTCTTCACCTCAGTATTAGATGGTGACTGAACAGCTTCACACCTCCCCAGTGGTCTGATTGGGCTCTCCAGGCCATACCCTACTCACTGTACTCACTGAGCTATCTCAACTGATGCAGAGTCAGAAACATACACAACTTACAGGACAGGTGGGCAACTGTTTATGTTCCTCACCTCTTATCCCATTACATGTTTCCGTGTAGTTATTCCAGTTGGATTTCCCTTTCTTACAAAACAGTTTGTTGCCATCAGTCCACTAGCACATGTCTCATGGTCTTACTCATGATGCATCATAATGACAGTTCAGTACTTGAGTCTGCTGGTTACACTGTTCAGACTTGTATCTTACCAATGTGTCTGTTGGCAGATCAAGCTCACAGCTGAACCAGCACCTGTCATTGAACCAGACCGACCTATTTGCAAAGAGTGCAAGGAAGAGTTTGATGATTCCTACCTCTTCCAGAACTTTGATCATCCAGTGTGTGATAGCTGCAGGTACAGATCCGGACTTTCAGAGATATCTGACGGAGGATCAGGAAAGTTACAGCAGGGTACTGTAAGGAATCATCCTGTGGTTTTCTGTGCAGTCACAGAAGCAGATTGTTACATACAATGTAATTTTTTTGTCAGTATCAGTAATTATGACACCATGTAGTCTGGTACAGCATGTGGCCTCCTGTAGGAGCCAGGATGGTGCAGTCGGTTTAGCGACTGGTTATGGACTGTATAACCTACAGGTCAGAGTTTTTGTCCCAGTCGGGTCGAGAATGTTCTCTTCTCCACATTGACCAAACCAGCTCTGGGGCCCACCTAGCCTCCTATATAATGGGTACTGGAGGATCTTTCTCCGGGGGTAAAGCGGTCGGGGCACGAAGCTGACCACTCACCTCCAACTAGACCCGAGGTCAAGAAAATGCGGATCTATCCATGCACTTCCCCATACGCCTTCATGACATAGTGCTTAATTAGTTAAGCACAGGGACAACTTTACCTTTATGTGGCCCCCTGTTCTGAGTAGACATGAGCAGTAAGTAGAAAAGATGGGGATTGGGGGCACAGCGAATAAACTTGACCAAAACCAAGGGTGGGATAGAGGAAATGATTATGAAGGAGGTAACTGCAAAAGGGCAGATCTTGAAAGTGGCGACTATGAAAGGGCCCTGAGAACTATTTCCATGGCTCACTTTGCTGGTGGTAACTTCCCTTCATATGTCCCACTGTGGTAATGCTGAAACAGTACCACAGAGAGCCCGCGTCCACCGATATTAAAGCACGGCTGCTCACCCAATCCAGGCCTTTTTATCTCCAGCTAACTGATGCTCCTGATTACCCTGTTTGGATTATCTGGTGTGCAGCACACGTGTACCTTTTTAGGACTACTTGCAACCCTGTGGCGCTTAGTACTATCTTCTGTCTGTACACATAATACAACTTGGAGAACTGCTGGACAGATTATCATGAAATTTCTTTATAGTAGAAGGCCTTACAAAGAAATGGTGAGCTATTTCAACTCCTATTTTGATTGGAAAATTTTAATGGCTCTTTCATGTGAAGGCTAACGTGCTTTTCTGTGCACATGTCAAGCATAACTTCCCAAATATTTACAAGCCTGAATAATGTTATAGAGAAGAATTAACTGCACAGCTTATGTTTATCACACATTTTCCATAGGTCATATGGTTTTTGCTATAACTGAACAAATTGAATGCTCTGTGTAGAGCTTCTGTATGCAACAGTCACTTTGGTCTCCTGATCACATCCCCAAGTTGGATTGTCTGTGTTTTTGTTTATTCATGTCTCTTCTCCATTATCAAGGGCATTCATGAGTACACTATAAATGTAAAGGTAAAAATAAAGTTGTCCCTGTGCTTAATTAATTAAGAATCAAGTCATGAAGACATATGGGGGGAATGGAGGTACAGCTCTACACATACTTAACCTTGGCACTGGATGCAGGTGAGTGGTCATGTTCACACCCCAGTCATGTAGGCCTCAGAGCCAATCTGGCCACTGTGGAGAAGAGAAAAATCTCTTGCCCCTGCCAAGAATTGAAATCCAATTCCTCAGTCATCTGGCCTGTAAGCCATTTCACTGTACTCATGAAGATATCGCAGCTCAGTAACTGACCAAATAATCGACTAGTAAAGTCCCTCTCTGACCGAAGGGCTCCCTTAGTATGGGACTTCCAGCGCTTTACCAAACAGTAATTATTGATCTGTCCTGATAAAAATCAGAAACCATTAAGAAAGTGTAACTTCACTCCTCTACCATGAACATGGAGGCAGTTTTCCTATGCAGACTAACTACATGCTGGAAGCAATATCCTTCAAAGCGTAACTTGTTCTCCTGCAGGGACAATGAAGAGAAGCATCAGCTCATTACAAAAACAGATGCTAAGAATGTGTATCTGCTGAAAGACTGTGACCTGGAGAAGCGAGATCCACCACTCAAGTTTATCATGAAGAAGAATCCTCATAACGTGCGCTGGGGAAGCATGAAGCTGTACCTCGAACTGCAGGTCCTCTCATAGTCAATAACTGATGCATCTTCCATCCAGTTATGATTTCATTAATCTGATGGCATTTCTTTATAGGTGGAACGCCGTGCACTGGAGGTATGGGGATCAGAAGAGCAGCTCGAGGCTGAACAGGAACGGAGGGAGGAAGAACGGGCAAAATCCAAAATTAAGAAATACAACAAGCAGCTGAAAGGTATGAACCGGTGGTAGGGGTAGCAGCAGTGGTCATGAGAGTTGGAGCATTTGAAGTAATGACAACTGCCAGGAAAATCTGCCCCAGTGCCACTTCATCCACCACAAATCCCACATGAACCGACCCAGCCTGAGCATGTAACCACCTGAACTATAACTGGCCAACTTACATTTTACTGCCCCACGTATGAGGGGCTTGCGTGACACATAATGGGTTCCGGATTGGATGATTGGATTTGCTGGCATTTCTTTACAATTGTAACCAATTATAACAGATCACAATCAATGACTGTCTAAGACTCGCTCCATTTCTCACTAGACTATGAGTTGACTGACTCGATTCTGATTTACGAGTCAGTCATCAGCTTCCGCTGTCTGCTGGTTAACACCCGACAGCTGAATGCCGAGGGAAGAATCACTTGTGACTGCACTGAACCCTCAAATGATGGCTCCCTCCCAAATGAACTCTGAACTAACTTCAGGGCAAACAGAATATAAGTCACCATGTCTTGTGGTTCCATTGTCACAGAAATATGTGTTACCAGGCCACTGACCTCTGCTCTGGCTTTCAGGCATTGTGTCACAGTACTGTCTGTAGTTAATCTACAGACGGACACGTAGAAACCTTCCCCACCAGACAGTACAGTTCTGAACAAGAAACTGTGTTTAGTATCTGAAAGAGCAGTTGGATTGATGATTTGTATTCTTATGTTGACAGCTTTGCGTATGTCAGTACGAAGCAGTCTCTATGATCGCACTAATAAATCATCACACGAGCATCAGTTTGGACCAGAGACTTACAACAAAGCTGATGATACATACACTCATACGTGCATTACTTGTGACTATGCAGAAACATATGAGAAGATGTGAGGGGCAGTTGATTGGATCAGATGTTATGCTGTGAGTTTACAGGGAATGAACACGAAGATGCAGTCATTGTGTGATGTCAGCTCCACACAGTGAATGAGATACTCTGTTATTTACAGATGAGTAGGGCTTGAGTACAGGAGCATCTGCATAGTTCAGTGTTTTTTTTTTTTCGTTTTCTGCTGGTGGTGGTAGTGCTTTAGCCCTCCTCCATAAATGATGAATATTTTAAGCAAAGCATAAATGTAGAAAACTCGATGTTATAAAAATAAAAGCATTTGTTGTGATAAAGTGAGAAATTCTGGTAGAAATGGTCTGTCAGCTATAAGTTCATATTTCTCTTTTTAAAAGACACCTTCTATACTTAAAAGTATAATGTCAGATGATACAATGATTTATGAATTGGAAAGCATTTGGAAGGCAGTGGTCATGGCCTTATGAAGTTACTATCCCAGCATTTGCCTGGAGGGCTGAGGAAACCCATGAAAAATCTGCGTCCATTTGGCCAGTGTCCTGGCTAAGATTCAAACTGAGAACCTCCCCAGATACAAGTTTGGGACATTACCATTAATACTATATTTCAGCATCCTGTTGGATGAAAGTATCACTTTAGTATTCTTCTGTGTACAACGCAGCAATATCAGTGTAGATTCACTAGTGAATTAAATGTGTATTAGTGTCATCCAATCTATATTGGTACTGTTGCATTATAGATGGAAGAAGTGACAGTACCACTACGTTAACCTGTTCAGTGATATATCAAAATGACAGTAGCAGTAAGAGTCCAGGCTCCTGCGATGTGATGCCATGTAGTTTGGTACACGGGTATCAGTGGTTTGGAGGAATGTGCTGCTTCCATCTTCAGGAGGTAGCAGTTTCCTTGGAAATCTTGGTATCTGTCTACCAGACTACACGGCGTCACACTACAGAAGACTGTTACTCAGTGTTCTCTGCTTTGAGGACTTCAGATTTCAAACAGAAGAGCAAACCCTCATTATAATGAACCAAATCTGGCTGTGTACGATTGTGAATTTTTAGAGATTTTGGGGCACTAAGAAGGTTTGATAGTTAGAAAACTGTGTAAAATTTAAGACCCCTGTATAAAAACCTCTCTGTCATCACATTGTGTTTCTATGTCTGTTGTGTGTCTTGGCTATGTATGCTATGGTGTCCTCCCATGAATTATCCCTTCACTCAGTTATAATTGACATCAGCAGTAACAGACACCCCCTCCCCCACATTAGGGCATTATAACGAGGGTTTACAGTGAAATCCCCATCTAATATGCCTTGATTTAAGGTTTTCCCTCATTTAACATTCAATTTCAGTGATCCCAAGTCAATCTGTTAAATTTTCCTCCATTTAAAATTTTTTCAGCCGAGTGTTCAGATCCGTTGGTCCGCAAAAACTTTAAATGGGGGTTTCACTATACTGGGCAGCGTGTGCTGAGAGCAGTAAGCAGTGTAAAAACTACTGTAACGTCTACCATGTTTTGGGGCAGTTATTTTCAGTAACCACTTTCATTCCTGATATCAGTTTGTTTTACGCCACTACCATGTCATTGGGTATCACTGCGCTGTCTTGGGGACATGTGGTAGTGTAGTTGGTTGAGGCACTATGCTACAAGCTGGAAGGTCATGGGATCAAATCCCAATGACATGGATTTTTGCAATTTACCTAATCCTTCCAGCTGCATTATGGCGCTGGGATCAACTCGGCCTCTAACAGATATGAGTACCAGGAATATTCCTGGTGGTAAAGGTCAGCCGGCATGGAGGGCTAACAACCTCACCACCATCTGTGAGCCAATTGTCTAGAAAATGTGGGAGTCTCGACGTCTCACAGTCCTATGGGCCTCCACGGGCTGTTATAGGGATACCTTTACTTTTACTTACTATCATTGTGCTGTCTTGTTGCCACCAGCACCGGTCTCGCTACCACATAAAAGTACTGTTGGCACTTCTGACTCAGGGTGACACAACTCACGAATTCCATGCACGTTTATTCAGGCATAGTCATCTGAAACCTTCTGGCTGGCAGCACAGTTCAAGAACGGTGTAGAAGCCAATTGAGGGGAGTGAAATTGAGAAGCTTCCACAGGGAGGTGCGCCACTCCCCCCCACATGCAGCAGTATGAAACATGATGCTGTCACATCCCCTGCCTGTGACAAGGGGAAGGTAGCAAACAGTTTCATCTGTTTCCTTAAAGACAAAAGAAAACAAAATAAAAAGGTAATTTTCAGTAGGCAACTTTTGATTTCTCAGTCATTCTCACGAAAAGAACACTTCATAATAATCGATGCATTTTCTTCTCATTTTTAAATGTGACATTTGCAATGAACATCTCAAGCCACTCCTGATCGTAGGTGGGCAGTCCCACAGTCAAATCTGATTGTGACAGTGGCTTAAAATTTGCAATGACCAACTCTTTCTACATGCCATCCAATCTTTAATTATCTGACCTTCTGACACTATAACCTCTTTAAGTTGAGAAAGTGTCATTAAATGAGAAGTAAAAAGGGAACAGTGGAACAGAATAGAAAACTGGTATGGAACAGAGATGGATGAAGGCATTCTGGTCCAATGATCACTTCTAAAGAATCTGTAACTTCAGTTTTATATTTACATAATAATTTAATGAAGATCTTGAATTTGTACATGTTGAAAAATGTTTCTCTTCAATAAAGCAAAAACAGTCTATACTGATTTGTGCATATCACACAATATCACATTCATACATTCATAAGCCCCCCCATCATACGACGTAACGGCGTGTATTACGCGTCGTGGGAAGTACCCGTCATGTGCTGCGCAGTTCAGGGCTTCAGGAGTTGCCTTTACTGACCACAGCCACTGCCTGGTGCACTCGCCTTTGCCCTGTAACAAGTTCTCAACTCAGTAAGAGGTCTGTTTCTTGCAGAGGCATTTATGCATGCAAAGCAGGCTATATGAAAACTGGAGGTAAAGCTCCATACATTCTGAACCTTGCTGCTAAACACAGCTTCATGCTCCAGCCACTTAACTCCCACAGAAGGAAATCCAAGGTCCTACTGAACAAAAGGTTGGGTGGACGCTAGCAACCACCTGCCTCAGAAATTGGCTGTCACTTGTAAGACAGGCAGAAGTCAGAAGATCAAATAACAATTATTTTCACAAGAGGGTGAAAGCAGATCACAGTGGCCTCACACCCTGCAACCACGTGAGCACTGGTACCATGGGATTTGCATTCCTTTTGGGATAAGGATGAATGTACGTATTTCTGCGTTCCTGTTCTCTGTAGACCTTCCAATCAGCTGATCCCCCATCCAAAGGGTCTAACGCCTGTTTAAGGGGGGAATCTAGTTCCAGAGGTTAATCCTGAATTAGAAAAGGGTTCTGCCTAATCTCTAAAGCTTACAAAATGAGTTTTACAACAGTAAATTTGCAGCTGCTGATTACTAAGGGATCAACATGCTACAAGCTTACAGACTGACCATGCTAGAGAACCACTCTCTCTTGACACTAACAGTCGGTATGATAGCAGCGAGTCTCACCTGTTGTGTTGCAAGTGGCTCTTCACTAGATCTCCTGCTGTCAATGCGGACATGAGTGAGAGTTCGGCTGCAAGGACAGTTCCACACACAATTTGGGCCAATGATTTAGCGTTATCGCCAGGGCACTCCCTGTTTGCTCCTGCAATAAGACACATCTCTCAGACCGACAGTGGCTGTCCTGACTCTTTGTCTTCACGCTACGCAGTCCGAGTTATGGATGGACTCGTTAAATAAAACCTGCTAAAGAAGAAACTGCCCAGCCCACACTGACTGGCATTCTGTTAGCCTCACATACCCCATGCAGCAAGGCCTCTTCTGTTGTTCAGCTGTGTAAACATACCTCGCACTCCAAGCATCTCAAGACAGGCTGCTTGTGGTGGCAACACTGTGCCCCCACCAACAGTGCCAACCTCCAGAGATGGCATTGTACAGGACACATAGAGATCTCTGCCATCTTCTCCCCTTGGCTCCATCAGCATCATGCAGTTACTGCTCCCCACATTCTGGGCTGGATCCTGCAGCACGGACAGTCAGTCATGCTACCAAGAAACTTGTCCTGAATCTTCAACACAGTCTTCACAAGAGTCTACTTCTCGTCTCTTTCATGAAATAGATAAATTTACTCTACATCCTTGCACCCATTTCTTCAAGATACATTTTAATATTATTCTCCCATTTACATCTAGGTCTTCAGGTATTCTAACTAAACTGTGTACTTATTTCTCATTTCTCCCACAATCTATCATCCTCCTTGATTTGATCATAATATCTGACAAGCAGTACAAATTATGTAATTTTTTCCATTCTCCTGCAGTGTTCCTCCTCTCAGGTCAAAATACTTATCTGAGCACCCTGTTCTCAAAAACCCTCAATATGCAATGGAACCCCCATTTGGTGTAACTCAATTTAAAAGTTTTCACTTACTTAATGTTCAATTTTGGTGATCCCAAATCAATCAGCAGTAAATTTCATCTGTTTACAATGTCCACTAATTCACTGTTCAAATCCACTGCTCCCACAAAGAAATGTTAAATGTGTGTGTCGCTGTATATTCTTCACTCAAGAGTTAAGAGACCAAGTTCCACTTCACACAAAACAGGTAAAATCATGCTTCTGTGTACACTTTAATCTCTCACTGTATAGAGAGGAAATAAGAAGACAAAATGACTGTACCAAACATTTCCCAGACATAGCGTGTTAATATTTCCTTACTAATCCATACATAACCCTAGAAGCCAGCATTTAAACTCTACAAAGTTGTATGCTGCAGCTGTGTGCCTGACACTTCTCACTGATTCTCTAACCACGGTTACATACTTTGGTAATTACTGAAGTCAGTTTTAAGAAATTTTCAGGAGGCATTAAGAACAGTCTGAACTTTACATCACTTGTCTCCAAGCCACTAAGCTCTGGTTTGAAGGTCACAAAACATTCCCTATAGCTCCTATGAAATCAGAAACAGCTATAGTAGTGAAAACTATGGTCTTTGGAAGTATAATGCTTCAGTTAGATTCTCTGCTGCAGTCAGTAAGGACCTTCTCGGGCTGCTACCAATAGCGTTATCTCACCGGCTTGAGGGGTTAAGCAAAACCGGCCAGTTGCATAAATGCGAACCTGTCCTGTCGCAATGAAGATGGCAGTGACAATGTTTGCAGCATGTGAATTGAAGCCGCCAATGCTGCCAGCCACAGCTGAGCCAACCAGATTTTTGTTGATGTTCAAATCGACTAGGGCGTGAACCGTAGTCTTGAGGACTGAGCTCACCACATCTGCCGGCACAAGTGCTTCACACACCACAGACTTGCCTCGACCCTCAATCCTGCAACAAGACGAGAAGTACACTTCAGGGGCAGCGAGAGGACCAGCACAGCTGTAGTGCTCTCCGTGTGGGTCTCATAACCCTCAGTTGTCATTTCTTTGGTTCCTTCATGGTCAAAAAAGAGCAAAACCTCTAATTCATTTCATGAAAAAACATTTCAATAAAATGGTAACATGAAACAACAAGAGGCAAATTTCTCCCTGTGCTTCACTGAGTACCACACCATAATGATGTATGGAAAAGTGAATGTATAGCTCCATGTATTCATAACCTCAGCAACTGCGGCTTTACCCCGGGGAAACGAGCTTCAATACCACTGGACAGAAGGCTGAATGGGCCCAAGAATGAATTGCCTCCAATGAGACAGTACATCAGCTATTTGTAGACTTCAAGAAAGCCTATGATTCAGTTATGAGGGAAGTATTCTACAATATTCTGATAGACTTTGGGACACTCATGAAACTAGTTAGGCTGATTAAAATGTGTTTAAACGAAACATATGGTAAAGTTCGTATAGGTAAACATTTGTCTGATAATTTTCCTACCCAGAATAGTCTAAAACAAGGAGATGCTTTATCGCCACTCCTTTTCAACTTTGCTTTAGAATATGCCATTAGGAAGAACCAGGAACATCAGGTGGGACTGAAATTAATTGGGACACATCAGCTATTGGTCTATGCTGATTATGTGAATCTACTGGGTGATAATATAGATACCATAAAGAAAAACACAAAAACTTTTAACTGACAATAGTAAGGAGGCTGGTCCAGAAGTAAACACAGAGAAAACTGAGTATATGTTGCTGTCTTGTCACCAGAATGCAGGGAAAAATCTTGACATAAAGAACAGATGTTTTGAAAATGTGGCACAGTTCAGATATTTGGGAACAATGATAACAAATCAAAATCTGATTCAGGAGGAAATTAAGAGGAGATTGAACTCGGGTAATGCTTGCTACCATTCGGTCCAGAACCTAATGTCTTCTTGTCTGCTGTCTAAAAACATAAAGCTCAGAATTTACATAATTGTAATTTTGCCCATGGTTCTGTATGGGTGTGAAACTTAGTCTCTGGCATTAAGAGAGGACCATAGACTAAGGATGTTTGGGAACAGGGTGTTCAGGAGAATATTTGGACCAAAGAGGGATGAAGTGACAGGAGGTTGGAGAAAACTGCATAATGAGGAGCTTCATAACTTGTACTCTTCTCCAAGTATAATTAGAACAATCAAGTCAAGGAGGATAAGATGGTCAGGACATGTAACATGAATGGTGGAGAAGAGGAATGCATATAGGATATAGGTGGGAAAGACAGAAGGAAAGAGACCACTGGGAAGACCAAGACATAGGTGGGTGGATGATATTAAGATGGATCTTACGAGACAGGATGGGATGGTATGGATTGGATCGATCTGGCTCAGGATAGGGACCACTGGAGGGCTCTTGTGAACATGGTAATGAACTGTCGGGTTCCATAAAATGCTGGGAAGTTCTTGAGTACCTGCACAATTGGCGGCTTCTGAAGAAGGGCTCAGCTCCATGGGAGAGAGAGTGAGTGAGTGAGCACAGTATCATGCAAGCAGACCTAGCAGTGATTGGAAACAGGTACAAGGCAAGTATGTGAGGAGGGAAGGCAACCCAGCATTTTGCAACTGTGCCAAGACACAAGAATAAGATACCCACCAGTTGAGAGCTGCAGGCTTCTTGTCTATGCAGAAGTTACCACTGAGGCTCACAATCTCCATGTCTTGAAACATCTTTCGCATGAATCCCAGAGCCACTTCTGTGCCCTGCAGTCAAACAGCAACAAAACCCCATGAGACACACTGAGAAGTTGAATGCAAAAGAGTGCTAGGGTTCAACATTTAACAGTAGTTCACTGCCTGTCACAACTGTGCTCTTCAGACTTCCTTTATATACATTTTGAAGTAACCATTGTCTGGACAACCTCCAAAGAATATTCAATACTTAAAGAGGACATCACATGTTACCCGTTATTCTCATTCCCTGAATGGCGGGCAAGCTCCCCACCACTTCCATACCACTCAACCAACAGCAGAGGAAGTCAAGCCACACTTGGGAACGGCAGATGCTGAAAGCTTTACTGGTGAACTCCATGGCCCTGAAAACAACTATTCAACAACTCATCCTCCTCCACTCTCACTACTGGACCTGAATGAGTTGTGCTGTACTGATCGCCTACACATGATGAAACAAAATTCACACACAAGCTATCCACTGTGCAATTGCTCATTAAAAAGCAAACATCTATTGTACAAGTAAGTGTTCTGTGACATTAGTGTTCATGATACGCATCACTGTCAAATGGCAGAGGCTATCAAATGATTAAGCCATGGGTGCCACAGCCTCCACCCATTTCAAGGCAGACACCTGTGTACCACATGCCATTCTCTCAAACCAGCCTCAACATGTGGGCACCGCCTGCTGTCACAAGATCTTTAGGTGCCTCACAGGTAAAAATTCATTGCAGTTAGATCTGGCACCTGAGGAAGCCATGCAACATCGAATCCAGCTTCCTGGATATGTCGTGTCCAGCCATTGATGGACATCTCCCCCTTAGTACACTGGAACTCTGCTGTGCTGAAACCAGAACCTCTACCCCACAGCTAGAGGCACATCTTCTGGCAGCCCCAGTAGAAAAGTTCCCAGAAAATCACTGTACTGAGCAGCACATGGCTCTCACAACTCCGGCCCAAATGCTGACACTGAGGCACAATGCCCATAAGTGACTTTTGTGGACATTGAACACTCAGGCATAAAACTTGCTTCTTTCTGTCCATAGAATGTCATGTAGAGAGCTATCTGTAGTGTGATGATTTGTTAGCCACTTTTTGTAAAACCCTCCAATGTCAAATTTAATCAAAACTTGTTTACCTGTTCTTAAGCTATTTCATCCATACAGGTAGATGGAGAGATGAATGGAGGTGCTCCACTGCGAGGCAAACATGTAAAAGGTCTCAGAAAATCATAATCAAATCCTTAAATTTACCTCCTTTTGTACCACTGGCATGCACCCTCCAGCATTTACAGTGAATTGCATATTAACGCACAGCATTTGCATCAGTAGGAAGTGACTCACCTTGGACAGCATGTTCATTCCCATAGCGTCACCAGTCGTAGCCACAAAACGAATGTACAGGAGACGACCCACAACACGGATCTGAATCTTTAAGAGACGAGCAAAACGACTGCTGGAGTCAAAACTTTCCTTCAATGCCTGAAAGTTTTGAGGTGTTTCCATCCACTTCATGGCATCACTGAAACAGAAACACAACAAAGCTCTCAGACTATGCCTAACGCTGCACACCTACACACAGTAGCAGCAATGTCGATACAATGTCCTTACCTAGCTCTGCTGATGTTGGGGAAGCGAACAACAGGTCCACGTGTCATGCCGTCACCCACAATGCGGGATGTAATGCCACAACGCATAAGGGCACGACATCCCCTGTTGGCGCTTGCCACAAGGCACCCTTCTGTGGTGGCAAGTGGTACGTGGATCAGACGCCCATCGAGCAGCAGCGGACCTGCCACTCCGACAGGGATAGGCATGTAGCCAATCACATTCTCACAACAAGCACCCATTACCTGCAATAACCAACGCAAATGCTAGCAACAGTTCTCACCCTCACTAGAATCTCATGAAGAGGAGGCTTTGCTCTGGCCTCGCAGACCGGCAAACCGATCGCAAGGTGCACATCCATTGGTCAGCACTTGTTACTCAACTGAACACACTATCTTCAGGATGTAATTGGAAAAATGTACTGCCCCCATCTTCAGGACTAAAGCGTAAGGAGGCAGAGACACTTAGTCTTCAGCCCTGAATGTTCCTCCAAAATGTCAGTACACTCCAGCCAGATTATATGCCACACATTCCAAAACAAAACTCTTCATAGTCAAGGATGTACAAACCTCCATCATCAGAAGGACTCACCTATTCTTATGGAATACTCCTATCTCTCTCTTGTTTTCCTAAGTGGCCACCTGCCAAGAGGTTTCACCATCAAATTTCTGTATGAATATGTTTTTGTCATATCTGAACTGTTATTTACAACAAGCCAGACCCTTCCACCCCCACAACCTGTAACCTACCCCACTGCTACAATCACATGACTCACCTTGGAGTAATCATAATGCAGATATGGCAGGTGGGTCAATGCAACCTTCAGTTTGGCAATTACACCCAGAATCTTGCGTCTTATGCATACACCTCTCTCTGGCTTTCCCACAGCTTTCTCCAGCTGGTGACTCGGCAGATAACCATGAGCCACCAGGGCCATCACCTCCGAGTCATTCAGAGCACTTGCTCCAGCCTGCAAGAATGTCATATAAGTGGACATATCCAGCACAGAGACTGTGCTCTGTGCTGGAATATTTGAGATCCCGTAATTGCAACCACCATTTTAAACAACAACTATTTCTAGGGGTGAGATGACATCAAATGGATGGTAGGTGAGCATGAAACATCTGTGGAATGAAAATGGCATGAAAGAGTGAAGTGCTCAGAGAAAAATCTTTCTCAGTGCCACTCTGTCCACCACAAATCATACATGAATTATCCTGGGACTGAACCCGGGCCGCCACAGTGGGAAGCCAGTGACTTACCACAGCTTAAGGGCCGCGCCATAGCTCAAGCAGTTAGTCACTGGGCCCGGGTTCGATCCCGGGTCTGGTCAAGTGGGATTTGTGGTGGACAAAGTGGCGCTGGGGCAGGTTTTCTCAGAGTACTTCAGTTTCCCCTGCCAATCTTCATTCCACCAATTGCTCCACAATCACCCTCACCTATCATCTGGGGCTGGTACAATAGGCCAGAAGTGGCCACAGTACAAGGGACTTAGTCCCACCCCACTAGCAATAAAGAAAAATACCACGGCTTAATCACCATGCAACCCTTTGGTAGCAGAAACAACCAAGAAGGCAACACTGATAACACCGATGCCTGCCACTGGCCTCATGTTCTCACAGCCATCTTGGTATTCCAAGCAATGTTTCCTCATTACAATTCTGGATACATTTCTTGCCTCCTCTACCTGTGCTTCGTGGCTAACACATCCTAAGCTCAGAATTACTGGATTCTTGCCCTTTGTCTATTCTCTGAGAGCACAACGTTTCGGAAACTTGATCTGCTTCCATTCTCAGTCGAGGTGGGGGACAGCTACTCTGTTAGGTCCCTTAGAAAAAGCTAATCCCAATCACTGGGCTGGACTCACCTCACCACAGAATGGAAACAGAGCCAGTTTAGGAAACATTGTGCTCTCTAGCTATCTGGAATCCCAGACAATGGTCAAAGTCCAAGAACCCAGCAATTCCGAGTGTCATAGATCACTGCCAGAACCCTTCAGAATCTACATCTTAAGCTCCTTGATTTGTCTACCATAATTCAAAGAAGCCTCAGATATTGAGGCTGACCTAGAGACTAGGCACATCTTTACCGTGGACTTGTAGATCTTGAGGCACTCCTCCAGACTCCTGTCTTCTGTCGGAAGGTCATCAAGGTCTACGGACGCTATCCCTGTAGGCTCTTCTTCCAGCAGCCCACAGGAGGGAGTCTGCTGGATGGGCTCCTCTTGCTCTGTCTGCACACCCTTGTGCTCAGTGGGCACGACAGAGCCCTCAGCCCGCGGGGGGGCACTCACCTCCACCCACCCCTCCACAGCCAACATCCCTGCGTGTGAACCAACAGACAAGCCTGAACTCCAACTTGAATTTCAGTTTTATCCACTGTGAACTGGGCACGTAGTACTTCCCACATTAAGAACAGACTGTGGGCTGTTACTTCTAATGGTATCAACCCATATAAATACAATTTTCTCAGTTTTGCATTTTTCATGTTGCACTATAACATACTTATGTTTGTTCTATGCAAGACTTATGCTCTGCACACTGACATATGAAGAAATCAGAAGTGCCAACTTACTGGTGAGAGATCCTGCATATTCGCAAATGTAAAGAGAGCAAGGGCTACCAACTTACTGGTGTAAGTGTCTGCACGGTCTCCAGGCTGGAACTTGTTGGTCAGATCAAAGAACACAAACTTAACAACGAGCGCAAGCACTAAGATGAGGATGACAATGTGGTCTGCACTCACAGTCAGCCATCTGCAACAGGAACACAGTGCATGCCTAACATTTATGTTCACACTGAAGTAACATCAAGCTTGAGATCAAGCCCTGATATAAACCAAAATCAGCAATGCTAATCCCAGAACTGAGTTTCACTGATACTTTTTTACACAATGTTGCTACAGCAACAACACAAACAAAAGCATCTTGTTATGATTATGGCCTTCTATAATGTGATGCTATGTAGTGTGGTATATAGTTACTAACAGCTACCATCAGGGCACAAGGATGTTGTAATTAATGAACTGCCATGACATTACAAACACTGAACCTCTTCCCAAATGATAAGGTTAATAACCATCCTTATATTATAAAACATTTAAAATGGCCATGCCATAGCTCAAGCGGTTAGTCTCTGGCTTCCCACCACGGCAGACCGGGTTCAATCCTGGGTCTGGTCAAGTGGGATTTGTGGTGGACAAAGTGGCACTGGGGCAGGTTTTCTCCAAGTACTTTGATTTCCCCTGCCAATCTTCATTCCATCAAATTCTCCATCATAATCACCCAGGACAGGCTACAATAGGCCAATCAGTGGCCGCCATGTCTAGTGGACCCAGTTGGACTCCACCCCCCATTAAGCGAATTAAAAAAAAGAATTAATTAACATTTAAAATTGTCCTCAGTTTAACGTTTAGATCCCCTGTTTGCCAGACAGCATTAAATGAGAGTTTTACTGAATATAAAACACTGGACACTTACACATCATAACTAAAAATAACTATGACAGTGTCATGGACTTACACACTTCAGAAAACACTGTAACTGCAGTACACAGAAAGCCTTCTCAGTCTTCACTAGCCATTGCTTAGTATAGGCTTCCAATGGCAGACGTCCCCCACCCCCTTACTCTGCGTTCCAGAACTGTTCCCGAACTCAGATACCGTCTTCCCACTTCTCACAACCGCAACTCTCAACTGATTCAACCAATCATTAAAACTACTAGTCCTTGTCATATAGCCCCTGTATGAAACAAGTGGAAAACGTTTCTTCTATTATTGCAAGTTATCTGGTTGCAACAGAGCTGTTCCCTAGCAACAGCTGTTCTGCTGTCACCTGTTTACAGAGCTGCTACTTGACAATGGGTATACAGATCACAACACTTCATAATAATACACGTATATTACACTTATCCTCAAATTTCAAATTCAAACTCAAACATGATGCAATGTCAGTCCACTTACTTGAAGTTGTATCCCTCCAGAAGAGAACTGAATATACTCTTCGAAGTCACGATCGTCTCACCAGTGACAAGGTTCACCACAGGCAGCGCCTCTTCTTCACGAGCAAATGACCAGCGACTATAAGACACAAAAAGAAGAACATGTCAGAGTAGCAACACACAGCAGAACAACTGCACACCCACTGAAGGATTACCTCTAGCATGCGTAACACAATGGGCCAGGAATAGTGGCAGGTCAGGGTCAAGACGTCTGATGGCTATCACTGGCAACCTGCAGCTAGGTACAGCATGACACATCTCCCTTAGCTTCCATGGCACTTCCTTACCTATTTTAGAATCCGATTTTATCTTTATTTCCCAACTTCCTTTCAATCTATTTTTCTGCAGACCGCAGTGCAAGTAAACCATATATAAACATTCAATTCCTACCTCACAGAAAACAACCTCCATCTCCATAACAAACACCACCACCCAGTTAAAGCTGTTCAGAGAAATGATGACTCTTTAGTTTGTGAATCATATGGAACACATAAACACACTGTGCAGGCAAAATGCAGCGTTTTGTAATGTTAAAGATTCCTGGCACTCATTTCAGTCAGAGGCTGTCATAACCACTGTCTAAAAGAATTGTTAAGGAATGAAAGTACGCTCATGAAATCACCATTCTCTGTGTGTGTGTTTTCCCCTCTCAACTTCTGAACTAGTTTACAAGCTGTTTTGGAAATCTAGTATGGACATCAAATTACCAAGAGACCACCTGGACAAGAACACAAACTTCTGAGGTAGCAGTGATTCTAGTGATGCTTAATTTAGGATCCTGAAATGGTGCATGGTACTAGGCCTTTGAAAAGTATGCAACTTTTGCTTCAGGTAGTATCTCTGCAAAATGTAAACAAAACATTGCAGCCATGTGAATCTGTTCTTTACCTTGTGGTATGATGGCTCATGCTGACAAACTACTACAGCTACACATGTGAAATTTAGAGACGCTACATTCGCTTGTTTATGTGTGGGTTGTTACACCACATCCAGGAAGCAAATTGATGTACCTGTGTGCATGCACCAGCATCAGCCCAGCTGACATGATGACCTTCACACGCTGCACCACCGGGTTTGGTTTCTGGTCCTCCTCGTACAGGGCGCGCATGATGAAGGAACTGTCATGCCAGGTAGGCCAGCCACTCTCACCAAACTGTGACAGCTGGAAAATCATGATCAGAATGTGCACTGCACACCACAGAAGCGCACACTTCTAGTATCAAAGTTTACTAATGGGCAAGAGTAGAAATGACCTCATATGATGTTTCAGACACAAAACAAGTACTTGATACTCACCTCCAAGATCAGAGAAAGGCAAGATGGGTAGAATGTCATGAACATGATGTAGTTCACAACCACTGACATACAGGCAAAGCAGCACAAGACGTTCAGGCGCCAAACACCTAGCAACATGACCATGTGAATCTGTCACACTCTTCTAAATATACAGGAGAGCAAATAAAGAGCAATGCCTTCTGGGACATGATGCCATACAGTCTGGTACGTTCAGTGGCATTGCAGAAGAACGCATGTCTCCATCCTCAAGGTTTTAAGGACTGCTATGCAAGCAAACAGAGAGAGGCAAGCCCACACTTGAGTGAACCCTCCACTGCACTGCTTACAGTCTACACTTCCCACTGGTCCCTTGTAACACTCTTCTCCTGCCTCCTCCAATGTCTCCACTTCACAAATATGGCCAATTCTAGGGCTCCTAGCTTCGTGCTTGGGTAGCTTGTTAACAGATGATGGAAGGTGTACTAGTGAAATTAAATCCAGGATTGCCATGGCAAAAGCTGCAATTAGCAAGAAGAAGAATCTTTTTACCAGCAAATTGGACTTAAATTTGAGGAAGAAACTAGTGAAATGCTACATTTGGAGCATAGCTCTGTATGGGGCTGAAACATGGACACTTAGGGCAGTAGATCAGAAACATCTGGAAAGTTTCAAAATGTGGTGTTGGAGAAGGATGGAGAAGATCAGTTGGACCGATTATGTGAGAAATGAAGAAGTGTTAATTAGAGTCAGTGAGCAGAGGAATATCGTACACAAACTAAGAAAACGGAAGGCTAATTGGATTGGTCATATCTTACGCAGTAACTGCCTTCTAAAACAAGTTAATGAAGGAAAGATAGAGGGGCGGATAGAAGTGACAAGAAGATGAGGAAGAAGACGTAAGAAGATACTGGATGACCTTGGGGACAGAAGAGGATACTGTCATTTGAAGGAGAAAGCTCTAGATCGCATTAAGTGGAGGAATTGTTTTGGAAGAGACTGTGGACCTGTCGTATGACAGATTACTGATGATGATGATGATGATGATGATGATGATGATGATGATGATGATGATGATGAACTTCGTGCCCTGGCCTTTATTTAACCACTTTTCCCAAACACAGTTCACTCAGCTTGCTTAGTACATGTCTGACCCTGAAGATGGAGGTAGTACATCCTCCAAATTATTGTGAACTTCTATCAAACTGTGTGGTATCACTCTGCACAAGAGGGTACTCTTCAAAGCCATCAATGTGGCAACCTCATATCCAACAAGAAAGCACCCATACGATATGACTTTATAACTCTCCACTAAGAGATGTCAGGGTTCAATTCCTTGCAGGGACAAGACATTTTTCTCTTCTCCACAGCATCCAGAGTGCCTGACATTCACCTGACTTCCTGTCCAATGGGTACAGGCAGGTTCTATACTCAGGGACAAAACAGCCAGGGAGCCATGTTAAACACTCCCCTCCACGTACTGCCATGGTTAAGAATGGGTGGATCTATACCTCAACTCCCCCATTATGTCTTCATCATGTAGTTTAATTAAGCATAGAATAATTCTACCCCTTCCTTTTTGATAAAAATATACGCCATGTGTTTCAAATCCAAATCACTCACCAGAACGAGTTACATGCGCCCGACACAGATATTGCATTCTGAAGGTTTCCCTTTGTCACCAGCTCGACTCATACATGGACAATATCGCCTTGCAAACTGCAAGCCTCCAGGGTTTACAGACAGGAACAGGACACCTTCACTCACCTGAGAGAGTTCCCACCCCAATGACTAGAGTCTCGACAATCGTGTCGAGAGTGATTGTGGGTCCAAGCATGGCAATTCCATGCGCAATGTTGTGCTTCACCTCATCTTGACTGCGAGAGCTCAGTGCAAACTGTGCAAGAACCGTTGCCTTCGACAGATCAATCAGCAGCAGGAAGAAAAAGAGTGCATCCCTGGAACACAAGCTGGCAACTTTATCACAGTCCTGAAGTTCTGGATGTGCATGCAGCATGAAACTGGAAACTGTGGGAAGACTCTATGATGCACATTTCCTTCTGAAGAGAAAACCAAGCAATACTAACAAACCAAATGCATGGAGCGGAGTCCTTCTTGAGAAGCCGAGAGCCAATCAGCTAGCCAAGAAATTCCCTGCGTTTCATGAACCCAAAAGTATGCTGGCATATTCACAAGGAGCCACGATTGGGCCAATCCTGAGCCAGATGAATCCAGTCCAGTTGATCTACTACATTAAAATCCACACTGATAATCCCTGATACTTCTGTCTACATATGGAGTTAACTGTGAGAAAAGATCAATAGCAGTGACACTCCTTGATAATTACTGCAGTCACTTCTTACATACAGGTACAATTATACACAAGGTTTCAGACATTCACAATACGGAAAATTCACTTTATTATCTGTCACACTCGCAACTGTATATAAGATTTGTAACCACTGTCCAGTTTGACTGATAAAAGTTGTTTTTTTTTAATTTTTATCCTTTACATGTTTCGGTCAAAACGACCATCTTCAGAAGGATATTATCAACACATGGAAACTACTGTTACATGTCATACATATATGTTACATATTTTAACTAACGCTACAATGCACATTGATTTGTTAAAACATCTAAAAATTATTACAATAACTCTGTTTACAAAGCAGTGTACAATATCTGTTCTAATCCAGAACCAATTTGGTTCACGTAGTTACACTTCTTCTCACTAATTTTTAGATGTTTCAATAAATCAATGTGCATCTTAGTGTTAGTTAAAATATATAATATTTATATCTATACACTGTAGTAGTAGTTTCCATGTATTGATAATATCATTCTGAAGATGGTCGTTTTGACCGAAACATGTAAAGGATGTAAGGCTAAAAACGCAACTTTTATCAATCACACTGGGTGGTGGTTACAAATCTTGTGTACAATCATCCTTCCACTTGATTCTACAAAGCCTGAACTGCTCACAGCATCATTAAACAAACCACAAATAAACACAAATAATCTAGAAATAATATTCCGTCTGAGACTCAAGTCAAATGCCTCCTGAATACATTTAAAGACACTGACATATGCAACATACCCAGGTCATGTGGAAGACAAGCAGGAAGTTCTGTAGGTTCTAAAGGGTTCTGACAATGGTGTATAGCACTAAGAATTACTGGGTATTGGGGCTTCTGCCCATTGTCCAGTATTCTAAAAACTAGAGAACATGATGTCTTGGAAACCGTATCTGCTTCTATCCTCTGGTGAGGGGGGGCACCCACTCCATTAAAAAGAGCTAATCTCCAGGTGCAGTGACAGGTTAGCTCTTTCTTAGGGACCCAAAAGAGCAGGTGTCTCCCCCCTCACCAGAGGACGCAAACAGATTCAATTTCCAAAATGTTGTGTTCCCTAGTTTTTAGAATACTGAACGATGGACAAACCCCCAAAACTCAGTAAATCTGGGGAAGTTGTGCCTGACCTGGCCACCCCTGAAGCCACAAGTAATCCTTACAACAGCAAACCATCAACTGGCCATTAAGGCCAAGATTCAAACCCGCGTCTCCTTAGAGTGTATCATCACTTTCTAGCATTACACACTGAACAATGCAGCAGTGAAAGTTGAGTGGATCTATTCTGATATCAACCACAAGACAGTGACAAACACTTTCTACAGCCATGACCAGATACTGCAGCTAAAGTCTAGGCTCTCTCTGTACCCACCAGGAAGATCAAAAGGAGAAGAGATTGGGAGCATTTCAGAATGGGGCAGCAATGAAAATATTGTGCTAACTCATAAAGGATCAAAATACACAATGAAACAGGAATCCATTCAGATTTGAGGTTATCACAGCTGTGATTGTGAAGAGTCCTGTCTCCTGGAATGTGACGCCGTGTAGTCTGATCGATAATTAAAAGGTATTTCAGAGAAACAAGATGGAAATAAAATATTCTGATTTGATATTTGTAATTTTCCTCGGTCCATATAGGTAAATCCTGCAATACTATCAAAAAACACGTGTTTCCTTCCACATATTTCCTAGTTCAATTTACTTATTCCTTTGTCTCTATGGTCCTCAGAATATTTGCTTCCATGACAGTTCACCATTCTTCTCTATTATTTGCCTTTTCCTTCTATGTCTTCACTTCCAGTAACCACAAATCGCACTATCATCTAGCCATCACAGCTGGCCCTTTCAAGGACTTGTTTAGCCACTGCAATCACATGCCCCCACCTCTCCAAGCTTCTGCTCTTGATTTCTGATAACAGGTGCAGTTTCCTCAGTTTCTAGTTCTCCCAGCCTCTTGCTCATTTACCGACCCATACAACTTCCTTACAAATTTCCGACATATCAGTACATGTGTATCCATGCTTAACGAAGAGCCATGTCTTGAAGACGAATGGGGGAACTGAGACACAGCTCCAGGCATTCTTAATCTCAGTAGCAAATGCAGGTAAGCAGTCAGTTTCATGCCCGCATCACTTTACCACTGGTAACCACTGGACATGAGACTGAGTGGCCCCCAAAGCCAGTTCGATGATCTGGAGAGGATACGGGTTTCTTGCACTTTTTTTTATTGCTAGTGAGGTGGGACTAAGTCCCTTGTACTGCGGCCACTTCTGACCTATTGTACCAGCCCCAGATGATAGGTGAGGATGATTGTGGAGCAGTTGGTGGAATGAAGATTGGCAGGGGAAACCGAAGTACTGCCCCAGCGCCACTTTGTCCACCACAAATCCCACTTGCCCAGACCCGGGATCGAACCCGGGCCGCCGCGGTGGGAAGCCAGCAACTAACCGCTTGAGCAATGGTGCGGTCTACCTTGCACTTGCTATGAATCAAACCTCTGTTCCTCAGCCAACCAGAGCATGGCCCAATGCTATACTGATTGAATTACACCTGCTAACCCTAATTCATCTGGCGTATACAAAAGCGTAACCTTCCAGACAACTTCCTGTTCCCTAACAATAATAACAAGGAAATCAACAATCTTCTAGGTAAACAGCAGATACTTACTGCAGTCATTCATAATCCTGCATGTGCGTGAGCCTCACAGGTGTGTCACGTCAGCGCCACAGAACAAGCCGGACCACATTACACCACACGTCCATAAGAAGCATGAGCAGGTGAATGTAGCAAAGTGAATGCAAACTGGGACCTTGACATGTCTCCAACAAGTCATGCAGAGACGCGCTTTCATTGACTGATGTAATCGAATTTGTAAACTGCTTTAGCAAACGAACACTGCATATGAATGGTTAGCACTTACATCAACAGATGAGGCACAATCTTGAATTTTTTAAGTTCAGAAGTTGGATATTCTGCACAAGGTTGCTTCATGGATGCTATATAAATGCTGGCGTAGTATCTTAATAACTCGGGTTAAAAAATGAAATGACATACCTCAATCAGGCCATGACCACTTCCCATTCAACACTACATAGTGTAGCTACTGCTGACAGGAGAGTGTATCCCTCCTTACCCTGCATTGTGTTGGGATCTCTCTCTCTCTCTCTGTCCCATGACATTCCCATCATAATTTGGTGAAAATTCAGAACGGTTTTATCTTCTGCTGATGTAAGTCTACATAAACTTCCCCTTCTGCATTTATTTCACATCCTACATAAATATTTCTGTCCTCCTGCTTAGTTAGGGAGCCTGGTTAGCTCAGTCAATATAGCGATGGGCTATGGGCAGAGCAAACGGGATTCGATTCCTGACAGGGGCAAAAGGCTTTCCCCTTCTCCACAGCATCAAGACTGGCTCTGAGGCCCAGCCAGCTTCCTACCAAATGGGTACCAGGGACTGGGGGTGTGTGAAGGTGACCACTCACCTCTACCTAGTGACAAGGTTAAGGATAAGTGCAGCTATACCTTCACTTCCCCATACATCTTCACGGCAGGGAGCTTAATTAATTAAGCACAGGAACAACTGCACCCTTAGCATACCTGTTTAACCTTTTTTTTTTTCAATTTCAATTTCAATATCTGGGCTCCCTCAAATCCTCACAACCAATGTCTTGTCCAAATTAAGGTTCCACTGATCATGATTGTCAATTTCCCCTTTGCCTTCCCACCAAATCCGCATATTGTCTGCAGATATTAATGTCATGATGAGATTTACTCTTCTGTTTCCTCCTCTAGTTTTATTATCAATTTTGAGAGAAGTGTGTTTCTCTGAAATGTTGGTACCTGCCTACCAAACTACACGGTGTCATAACACACACGACCACAATACAGGTATAATATCGTGCACGTGGCTGTGTTACCACTCACTTGAGGTCAGAAATATCACTGCCGAGGAAGTTGATTACACTCGAACTGAACACAAAGCTCGAGAACACCGTGAACAGGCCTGCAATCCCTGCAACAAGAAAGAATGCTTCAAACAATGGGATACATTCCACAGTGCTGTACTGCTTCCATCCTCAGGACCAATCCTGATATCAGCTACAAGAACTTTATGTTTTCTCAAGAACAGGGCAGCGCCTCGGCAGTCAAACAACATATAACCAATTCCTTTTGCATCCCTTCCAATTCAACATTCACTCTCACTGTACCATTTCACTGCACAATCTGCATTACTGTCAGCAATGTTAAATAAACTATACATAAAACAGTAAGTTTCTTTTTACTGCTAGTGGGGTGGGACTAAGTCCCTTGTACTGCGGCCACTTCTGGCCTATTGTACCAGCCCCAGATGATAGGTAAGGGCGATTGTGGAGCAACTGGTGCAATGAAGATTGGCAGGGGAAACCGAAGTACTCGGAGAAAACCTGCGCCAGCGCCACTTTGTCCACCACAAATCCCACTTGACCAGACCCGGGATCGAACACGGGCCTCCGCGGTGGGAAGCCAGCGACTAACCGCTTGAGCTATGGCGCGGCCCAAACAGTAAGTTAATCAGTTAACAATGAATTGGAAAGGATGTGAAAGGAAGCAACTGTAACCTAATTTAACACGTCATCTCACACGGGGGGGGGGATACCTAGGTTTTGGGTCTGCTTCTGACTACAACCAAATGCTTCAGTACTACTCCTGTGCTGTTGGGCAGCATGAGAATACAGACTCAGGGACATGCATCCCCCCCCCCNTTTCTTATCAACAGTTTTGGAACTGTGCAGTGAAATAGCTCCATCTCGGAAACTCTTCGGAATAAGACACACGTACAGTATACGCTTTCTTGCTGTGACCTTCCAGAATATTGACCTTTCCTCCTCGGCCGCACTGCATACTTGATACATCATTGCTAGCCCATTCAGAGCCCCCACGATACTCGTTTCCATTTTTGTCTAGCTTTACCCTTCACACTGACGTTGAGTGCACTTGTATTGTGTCTGAATTTTCCCAATTATTCGCAGAAAGTATGGGAGAAACGGCAATGCATACAAAGTTTTGGCAGGAAGACCTGAAGGCATAGATGGGAAGATAATATTAAGAGGGATCTGGAAGAAATGCGGTAGGAAAGGTGGAGGTTAGGGATCAGTGTCAGGTCTGTGTGAACATTTGGGTTCTGTAACATGTTGAGAATTTGTTGAGTAGCGAAGCAACTGTTAGCTTCTCAAGCAGAAAGAAAGTAGTGGTCCCGATGTGTGACTTAACAATATTATATTTAAGCATCCTGTTGCACTCCATACGATAAATGATATAAACTCCGTCTCAAGTGCAAACAATATATTTGTGTCTTTGATCTTGCTCCCTACACTACATGTTTCGGCCTCAGACGGCCATCATCAGGTGTATAACACTCACGTCGCTGTCACACTGCACCCAGTTCAAAATTTAACATCTAAAACGCTCTCCCTGTCATTATCAACTTCTACTTCGTTGATAGCTGTCAATGATGGCCGTCTGAGGCCGAAACATGTAGTGTAGGGAGCAAGATCAAAGACACAAATATATTGTTTGCACTTGAGACGGAGTTTATATCATTTATCGTATGGAGTGCAACAGGATGCTTAAATATAATATTGTTAAGTCACACATCGGGACCACTACTTTCTTTCTGCTTGAGAAGCTAACAGTTGCTTCGCTACTCAACAAATTCTCAACATGTTACAGAACCCAAATGTTCACACAGACCTGACACTGATCCCTAACCTCCACCTTTCCTACCGCATTTCTTCCAGATCCCTCTTAATATTATCTTCCCATCTATGCCTTCAGGTCTTCCTGCCAAAACTTTGTATGCATTGCCGTTTCTCCCATACTTTCTGCGAATAATTGGGAAAATTCAGACACAATACAAGTGCACTCAACGTCAGTGTGAAGGGTAAAGCTAGACAAAAATGGAAACGAGTATCGTGGGGGCTCTGAATGGGCTAACAATGATGTATCAAGTATGCAGTGCGGCCGAGGAGGAAAGGTCAATATTCTGGAAGGTCACAGCAAGAAAGCGTATACTGTACGTGTGTCTTATTCCGAAGAGTTTCCGAGATGGAGCTATTTCACTGCACAGTTCCAAAACTGTTGATAAGAAAAAGATATTACGTACTGTTTCTAATAACAAACAAAAAACAAAACAAACTCCGTGTTCTTAGTCCGCAAGCGAACTATACCAACAGAGCGACCGCCGCTTGTTCGCGAAGTTAGTGCCAATTTTTGCGGACAGAGGGTGTAGCGTGCTCAACGCAACGGATCCCCACGGCCATTAATCTCAGTGTTCTACACCGGAGCCGCTGCTTTTCCATTCAAGTAGCTCCTCAATTATGCTCACGAGGCTGAGTGGACCCCGTTCCAGAACGACTACTTCTCAGAAAACTAACACCAGTATTTATTGTTCAAGTGACAAAGCTGGTACAGTTTACCTAGTATAATACATTTTCAAACATTCCATCGTCAACATCAGTGCACTTTGCCACTCGTGTGAGGACATGGCGTCTTGCTCGTCTGTACAGTGTACAGCTCTATCTCGGAATAGGGCACATGTACATACACACTTTACTGCTTAGAATGACCGATACTATGACCTCACAGCTCACCCTGTAGAGTTTATTCTGCTTCTAATAAAATCTAAGGACATTAATAACATTCATTGTTATGTTAACTTTCAAGCGGTTGTTTTATTCAGACATTTCCAACACATAATTCCGTATTCATTTCCTGTCTCCCCCTGAAAGCTACATCTGCAAAGGAACCGAACAAACCCTGAGACTCATCTGTGTCAGCAGAATGACCCAGTGTCTGCTCGCCACTGCCAGCTTGCTGAAGACAGCCCAAGATCTCAAGGCCTGCTGGACCTGTGGGGTAGGTGGTGGGGGCTGCGCATCCAAAAAGTGAAACTTGTCTTACCTAACAGGTGGCAGCTGACATAACGCACGAATGGAAAGTGCTACACAACTGGATCAAGGACTGTCCATCCCACTAAAACAAGCAGCATGCGCGGTCATTTGTCTGGGGTTTGGGAGCTCAACAGCCACTGTCCTTGAAGGAGTTGCACATTTTATTTACGGGCCTGGCATATGAATAATAATAGAAGCAGAGCGGCTCAAGGGACAGTGCTTTCGACTTGTGTCCGCCAACTGTCCGGGTAGGCTCTCCAGCTCTCCAACGTTTTCTGTGCGTTTCCTCGATCTCTCCAGGCATGGCATCGTTAAATCAGGCCACGGCCACTTCCTTCTGCAGAATTTCCAATGCATGCTACATGGTATGGGAAGTTGATGACATGGTTAAATAAGCAGAAAAATTAATCTGGTTACTGTGAAGCGGATTACAAATAAAATTTGAAAGAAACAGAGGCGGATGCCTGAAGAAAACAATGCAAGAGGAAATGCCGGCAAGGTTATGGGAAGCGGCAAGACACTGACCCATGTAAAGCCATCCCTGTAACGGGCCGTGGAGGTCCATAGGATTGTGAGACGTCGAGGCTCCCACGTTTTCTAGATAATCGGCTGAGATGGCGGTAAGGTTGTCAGCCTTACGCGCAGGCCGCCCTTTACCCGCAGGAAGATTCCTGATACTCATTTCTGTTAGAGGCTGAGTCGACCCCCGGGGCAACAGTGCGCCTGGAAGGATTAGATCAATTGAAAAATTCAACGACCTCATCGGGAATCGAGCTCGCGAGGCGAGAGTGATATACTGTTGGTGTATGGCAAGCCGAGCCTGTGCGTGTCCCTGTCAGTACCAGGAACACACTGCAATGGACAGCAGGCTGATGCGTGAATGGCAGTGGAAACTGCTTGTGGCTTAACTGAAGTGCTACCTCGGAATTTGCCTGGAAGCAGTCGGGAGCTCTCAGTGTCCCAGGCAAGTTCTGAGCTTAGCGCTCCCTCTTGACAAATTTGTTGTCCCTGTGACATGATGGAGATGTATTAGGTGACGCGCAGCTCCATGAATTTGTAACCTTTGGCACAGCCTTCTCCCCGCCGATGGCCCCCAGGGCAGGAGCCCACATTATCCATGGGATAGGAGGCTGGGCGGAGACCCCAGAGCCAGTGTGGACACTTTGATGAAGATAAAAATATCTTACCCTGCCGGATATTGAACCCAAATCCCTCAGCCACCGAGACTGAAGCCCAACAGAAGTCTCATTCCCCATTAACAACTCCTGTGGTTACCATTCATTTTTCCACTTGCGGGCCATAATTCAAAATTCTGCTTGGAACACAATTTTCTCCTACCGCTTTTTGCAGCTGTCCGCAATTCTATCAGCGTCTACACAGTCGCGTGGACTCAGTTCCAATCTCGGCTGGGAGATTCGCTACTCACTCCCTCCTGGCAAATTCTGGGGCAGGGACTTTAAATGCGTCCAAGTCTCTTCCTTCCAATTCATCATTCATCTGCCGTCCTCCCATCAAAGTGTACTCACTACCGTCACGGTGTCACGCCTTCTGGTGCCTACAGAAACAGCAGCTGACACTTCCAGAAGCTTTATCGCTCTGCAGTCAGCCAAGTGCCACACCATAGTTCAACTTCATTAACATTACGAAACTAATTAAGTTTGTTCTATGATACTGTGGCATGTAGACCCGTTCCTAGGCAACGACCACAAAATAAGCAGCTATACAACAGTCATTACTAGGTAATGGCCGTAACAGACAAGCATGCAACAACAGAATCGTTGAAAGCTGTTTTATATGCAGTCCGCGCCGAGGCTTATAACGAGCAGCAGCTGCGAGGCGACGAAAAGGGAAGTCTCGAATCTGAGACAGTAAAATACGGTCGCGAGTCCCAAGGGACTTGGACCCGAGAAAAACTGCGCTGGCAAGGGCCAGCAGCATGTACAGAAGACAACCGTCCACTCGTCAGAGAGGGCGCCCCAGAAGAACAAGACCGTAACTATCAAACAGCAATAAATATCTGGTCATGAGACACATGAGGGTACTCGACACTAAGACTTACTGACTGACTAGCCGTCAGTCGCAATGAGACTGTGACTTCGATTTACAAGAGATGCCCGTGTGGAGGCCGGGTCGAATACCTCCACCGTGACCCTGCGAGTCGTAGGAGGCGACGAAAAGGGAAGTCTCAAATCTGAGACAGTAAAATATGGTCGCGAGTCCCAACGGACTCCGACCCAAGAAAGACCGCGCTGGCAAGGGCCAACAGCATATGCAAAAGACAGACCCGTCCTCACGGCAGAGAGGGCGCCCCACAAAAACAAGACCGAAACTGTCAAACAGTAATAAATATCTGGTCATGAGCCGCAGATAGGGCTCGACACCAAGACTTACTGACTGACCGTCAGGTGTAATGTGACTTTGACTTACAAAAGACTTGAGACAGCAGTTAGAAGAGAGGAGTCAGTTTTGAGCCAGCTGCGGGTCAGTAAGCACGTGAACACGAAAGCTGAAAAAGCTAGGCGTTAGAAGCCGTTAGCAGGCAACAACCGGTAACGATACAGCAGACTGAGAAGGTTTAGTGCGTGTTGTAGTGAACTGTAGGGTGTACAAGTCAGCGATAGCGCTATAGTTACTTGTAGTTACATCTGTCAAGTGTTCAATAAATCCAATTACCAATTCAAACCCCTTCTACAGTCAATCACACTTGTGACAACAGTATCTTTGGCTATATAGCAGCCAATTGTAGGATGACATGAATGCTCACGTGGAAGGGATCTGGAAGGAAGCTGACATGGTCTGAGGTGTTATCCTAGTACTTTCCTGGAGGGAGTGAGGAAAACCACTTAAAACCCTCAGTCAGGATTGCCGGTGTCTTGGCTGAGAATCGAACCGAGAACCTGCCAAATACGGGTACAGAATGATATCACTGCACCAACTCCTCCCATGTATGCCCTTCACGCATTGGCACCCAGACTGGACCCTTCCTATCGCTCCGGCCCGCAAGCTACAGTCTAGACAAGAAGCCTGTGGACTGGGGTCTGTGTAGTTAACAGAATACGTATCTTGTCAGCCATAAAACACTGTCAAAGCCACAAGCATGCCGTACTATTTACATGTGTGTCACGAAATCCGCCTGCCACGCCTGTGTCGCACGCGCTACGGGTATTCACAGCATGTGCAGCCCCACTGCTACGTCAACACCACGTGATGTGCGTGCCTGCTTTCAAGACACACAGAACATACAAATACCGCATTTCAGCACTATACGATGCTTGATGCTGTGCGAATTCTTCCCCTGGGCCTCAGTCCACTTGTGTGTAAACAGACCCATGTGGACACGAAACGAGAGAACGTGCAATTAAGGAAGTGACGTTTTCTGTGCGGTCCGTATCAAGGCTATATAACGAGGCGGGTTCGAATAACTCCACAGTAGCCCTGAGAGCCGTAGGATGCGACGAAAAGAGATCCCAGGGCCTGGGGTACAACTGAGCCACCTTGTCCCTGAGGGATATGTATCCGGAAGAAAGGGCGTGTACGAAAGAACTTGTGTATCCAGAGGAACAGTCGTGTAGGGAAGAACTGGTGTATCCGGAAGATTGGGCGTGTACGGAAGAAGTAGTGCCCCTCCAGGATGGGGCAGTCTCAAATTGAGACAGTAAAATAAGGTCATGAGTCCCGAGGGACTCTGACCCGAAAACGACTGCGCTGGCGAGGATCAGAAGCAATGTAAACGACAGACCCGTCCTCTCGTCAGAAAGGGCGCTCCACATCTGTGTGAGAGTAACAAAAATCTTGGAAACAGGATGGGCGCTTGACACCCGGAAAGGCTGGCCGACTGACCGTCGGTCGTAACATAAATTTGACTCTGGCTTGTTGACTTAATACGTATATCACTAACAAATGTACCCACTTCACGTCCTCATCACCAATTTCGCAAAGTTCCATTTTAACATTATCACCTCACTGTTAACTACGTCCCAAACGTTTTCCTCGCCAGGTTCCATAACCAAACTACATGCCCTGCCCATCATGGTGTACACTACACTAAAGAAAGCAAATGCCTGCCACCTTACATCAGTGGCTCGGTAGCAAGGTCAGTGCCTCCTGAGGTTCACATTCCTGCACATCACACAACTTTCACCTGGCGACGGAGAAAGTACAGCTCTGAGCGCCCTCACTTCCTGACCAGCATAAACAGAAGGGACTCACTGTGTCAAAGGTCTCAGGTTCAAGACCAGTCCAGATGTACCTGTCATGTGTCACCCTTCCTTCACTTCTGACAGAAAAAACCTAACTAAATGAAGCAGATACCGTCTTCAGAAGCTGAGAATTGCTCAGCTGGATAAGATATTCACAGGTTTCACAGAAGTTTGTCACCGATCACTAATCTGAACTAAATTAATACAGTTCACACCCAACCATCGTTATTTCTTTAAGATCCATTTTAATATTATCCTCCCATCTACGTCTAGCCGCTCAAAGTGCTACTTCCATCCGCATTGTTTTGGAAAGAACTCCACACTGTTTGTTTGGTTCTGTCATTTTGTCTACATAGTCCAATATAAAATCTTTGAATTTGTATTTTTCGTTTGTCGTGTTCTTTTTGAATAGAATGAAACTATTCAACGCTGCCATTTGCAACAAGAACAACACCAGTTTCTTTGTCCACTTTACAGTTTTGCGGGAACAAGGACAGTAATGTAGCATTTGATCGGCCCTGTCAACCCCTCTCATATGTTTATTGTAGTCCCCAATTGCCTCGGGTTGCATATCTTTTCTCCTTTGCGCTTTTTGCTGTGTGAAGAGTAGAGATAAGTTTGACATCACTTTTATCTCTCCACACCTGCATGAGAACCTGCCCCTTACTAGAAAACACAGATTCCCCTTTTTTCAAATTTTTTACTTCATCCTTTAGTTCTTTAGCAGCTCCTCTGTCCATTCTGAAGGCACCACACACATAGGTATTTCTCTGTAATAACATCTCACACAGTTCTACAATATTTCAATAGTTATCCTGGTAGATATGATACCCTTTATCTAGAAGCTGTGGCCCCAACAGATCGACAACTAATTCCTTTATAGGTCTTGCTTTTCCGCAATAGATCTCAAAATTCCAAATACATCCACTTGTCGATTCACAAACGAGATAAGCCTTTATACCGTACTTATCAGGTTTATCAGGCATACATACTCGGAAGATAATCCGTCCTTTCCAAGCGATCATTCCCTCATTTATTGCAATTTTCTTTTCAGGGATATATGTGTTTCTAAATTTCCCCACTAATGAGTCTATAATTGGCCTAACTTTATACAGGCGATCTTCACAGTCAGCGGGTCGTGCATCGTTGTCTGCAAAATGAAGACATTTCCAGATCTGTTGGAACCGCCTCAAAGACATCTTTTGTCCATACCATGGAGTGTGAAATAGGGGCCTAGTGGACAAATATGAAATGTCATGAACACAATTCCTAAGTATGTCCACATTTGTAATTGTGTTCTCGCGAGTGAGGGGCTAACTCACGTGTGTTGAAGCGATTGGTTTCAGTTGTGATGTGATTTACTAAGTCGTCATCCAGAAAAATTTTAATCCATGAAAAGGGGTGCATTTTATGTGTTATATCAATTTTGATCCCGGAACTACTAGTAAATGGAACTACTGTTGGTGCAGTGTCTCCGTACGTCCAGGCACCGCACTCGTCGTGGCTAAATGTTCATGTGGATCATTGTCTGTCACTGTGTTACTGTCACCATCAACTTCATCTAATTCATCGCCACTATCATCAGCAGCACAAATCTCGTTCACAACCCTTTCCAGCTGGTCTGTAGGAACACTCCGACACGTGCTGCGAGAAGCCATGGCGAAACTGAATGAAAGTGAAATATTTCCTGACCTTTTCCTTCTCGGAGGGTTCTGACAGTAATATAGACCCCCACAAAGTTTACAAGGGTTCTTTACAAACATGCACAAAAACTATCATAAATATGTCAATAACTCTGATTTTAACCCCAAAACGATGGGATGATTAATAAAATCGAAAAGATGTGGGGCAAAACTGCCATGGCCTATTTCAAGGTACTGTCCCAGAATCTGCCTGGGAGAAATGACATGAACCTCAGTGAGGAGAGACAAGTGACCTCGGTAGGATTCAAGCCAACTTCTCTACTTCAGCGCATAAGGCAGTCCTCTGTTATCACACCGCGCACTTCTTGTTGTGGGGGTTATTTTATGACGGTACCAGTAGACACCGCGTAGTATGTTTGGTAGTTACCAGCGTTCTGGAAGGCACACACATTCTCCGTATTCAGGGTACCCTCAAGACAAGCTAAGTAACAGCCCTTCAAGGAGCACACTGCGCCATGTAGTCGCAACTGCATACCCCTTACATATAATGGGCCGTTGAACCCCATAGGGTTGTAAGACGTCTAGGTTTCCACATTCAAGACTATCAACTCACCCATGGCGCTGAGGTTGTCAGCCTTACGCGCCGGCCGCCCTTTACCACCCAGGTATTCATTTCGGTTAGAGGCAGGGTCGACCCCAGGACCATAGTGGGGCTGGAAGGATTACGTCAATTAAAAAATTCAATGACCTCATCGGGAATTGAAACCGCGACCTTCTGGCTTGTAGAATAGTAGCACAGCACCCCTTCCTTACATGTACACTGTAAAATTTCGTATAAACTCACCGAGGATGTACTTGGAGCCCAGTTTCTGTAGGTTGCAAAACTGATAATACGTGTACAGTATGGCCACGCATCGGATCAGCGTCATGACAATCATGTCAGCAGCATTATAATCCTGCAAGAAGAAAGACGAATCATTGCAGACCGAGGGAAGAATGCTACGAACTGACTGCATTCTGGGACGTAACACAAGCAGTCCAGCAGGAAGGTCACAGACATTTTGGATGAATAAACATCCGCCATCTTAAGATCGAAGAAGAGGGCAAAGCAAGCATCCGAGAAGCCATAAGCCATGGAAGTTCCCCTTCCTCTCAGGAGTCCCAAGGCTCTGCTAGCCGCTTGCTTTGCTCACTCCTCCATCTCCTTCTACCAGAGCACACGGTGTTGTGTGCCAGATGACTATTCACATTCAGATCCTACATACTCTGCTTGTCACCGCTCAGAGAAGTGTTTCCGAGCTGCTTAACATGACACTTCATTAATAATCCCAATCAGGGCTGGAAATATAGGAACTTCCTGACTGACCACACCCAAATGATACAGTGTTTACTGATTCATCACTCACAAAAGCTAAACACAGACCATGTTTTTACATCTGGCCTCTGGGTAGTGATCGGCAGTGGTTGTAGCTGCATTCTGGGAGTCTGACACACTGCAACATTGGCCTCGACCACATCGGCCAGATGCAGAAACACAGGCAGCAAACAGCAAATGCAAATCTGTACTGCACCTCAAGTCCCGAGCAGTTGTTCCTCCAGTCGCAATCCTTGTATGGGTCTGGTGGCAGTCGCAAGGGTCGCTGGTCCACTGTCAGCATGCATACTGTGAGGGTAAGCGTGGCCACAATCACCTCCCAAGGATGCGAGGCACACACTTCCCCGTACGCTCTAAATAGCCAGCCAACCATCTTCACCTGAAACACAGAGACGTCCAAATAACACGTCACACTGATTCGTGCCTCTCTTGTGCTAGGAACTGCTCACTTCCAACTATGAAGAGTTCTCTCTTCTGCGATGTAACACCGTATAGTCAGTCCAGTGAAAGTCACCCGGCATTTTTGTAGAACACCTCGCCTTCATCTTCAGGACCGAAGAGTAAGCAACAACAAAAAAATACATGAAGCAGGCCGCAAGAAAGTATAATGCTCACGTGGTTCTCTTCCGACAGTTCACGGTGCAGTCAGTAGCCAGGTTACACAGCAAGTGTGGACAAGACGCCCGCAATGCAACGCGTCCGGAAGAACGGCCGTCTACGGAAGAACTTGTGTATCCGGAAGAACGGGCGTGCACGGAAGAACTGGTGTATCCGGAAGAACGGGCGTGCACGGAAGAACTGGTGTATCCGGAAGAACGGGCGTGCACGGAAGAACTGGTGTATCCGAAAAAAAACAGTCGTGTATGGAATAACTGGTATCCGGAAGAACGGGCGAGCACGGAATAACTGGCGTATCCGGAGGAACGGGTGTGTACGAAAGAACTTGTGTATCCGGAAGAACGGGCGTGCACGGAAGAACTGGTGTATCCGAAAAAAAACAGTCGTGTATGGAATAACTGGTATCCGGAAGAACGGGCGAGCACGGAATAACTGGCGTATCCGGAGGAACGGGTGTGTACGAAAGAACTTGTGTATCCGGAAGAACAGTCGTGTACGGAAGAACTTGTGTATCCGGAAGAACGGGCGAGCATAGAATAACTGATGTATCCGGAGGAACGGGCGTGCACGGAAGAACTGGTGTATCCGGAAGAACGGGCGTGCACGGAAGAACTGGTGTATCCGGAAGAACGGGCGTGCACGGAAGAACTGGTGTATCCGGAAGAACGGGCGTGCACGGAAGAGCTGGTGTATTCGGAAGAACGGGCGTGTACGGAAGAACTGGTGTATCCGGAAGAACGGGCGTGCACGGAAGAACTGGTGTATCCGGAAGAACGGGCGTGCACGGAAGAGCTGGTGTATTCGGAAGAACGGGCGTGTACGGAAGAACTGGTGTATCCGCAAGAACGGGCGAGCACGGAATAACTGGTGTATCCGGAAGAACGGGGGTGTACGGAAGAACTAGTGTATCCGGAAGAACGGACGAGGACGGAATAGCTGGTGTATCCGGTCCGTCCATACACATTGTGCGACGTCGTGTAATTGACCCCCCCCCCGTCATACTTGGTTACTGAAGATTTCATGTTTCCACAGCGGTAAAGATTCACACTGTGATCTTCTGGGTTATACCGCCTTGTAGTGTGGTAGGAGGGTGACGTTTCAAAGCAACATACAGCCTCGATCTTCAGAGTACGGATCTACTCAGTGCTAACACACACCTAGATAAAAATTTCCTATCAGGGAGAACTTCTCGCAAATAAAAAAGTTGTAGTTTGAATCTTAATCAAATAAATATTTCATCGATTTTAGACCAATTATTATCGTGTCAGATTTGAAAACGAATGTAAAGCACCCCTATAGGCAGTGATTCCATACATCTTGGTACTCTCGTGCTCCGTCGGTTACTGAACAATGATATTTCAACTGCTCATGCTAGCCCTTCAAAACACAGCGATTTCAATATAAGGCAAAGCTGTCCCTGTACTTAACTAATTAGGCACTACGCCATGAAGGCGTATGGCGGAATGTATGTAAATACAGATCCATATTTTCTTGACATCGGCACTAGTTGGAGGTGGGTGGTCAGCTTCAAGCCCCGGCCGCTTTAACCCCAGGAAAGAGCCCGTGGTACCCATTGGATAGAAGGCTGGGTGGACCCCAGAGCCGGTCTGGAATTCCGTGTTTTCCCAGACAGTAGTAACCGGTTGGGTTTTGTAGCGGAGACGTGATGTGTTTCCTGTTAGGTACGGACTGGATCCATGAGTGGTTCCCAGCCTGAGAGAGGCAACAAACGTAGCGCATATGCAAAAAGACCGACCCCTCCCCTCGTCGAAGAGACCCCACTTCCAAACACAAACACGTCTAGAACAGAAAAAACGTTTAGTCATGGATCACGAGGAGGTATGAAACCAGGAATGACTGTGCTGACGAGGAACAAAAGCAATCTGACCCACCAGCCAGCAGAAGTCACACCCCTCCCCTCGTCGAAGATGAGTCCCCATTTCAAAACACGTAAAATTTGAAAGAACAAAATATGGTCATGGGTTCAGACGGACCTAAAATCAAGATTGGCTGTGCTGGCGAGGACCAGCAGCAACTTACCCAACCGACCAGCCTGGGGGATGGGGGTGGGGGGGTGAGTCCATGAAAAAATAAATTTGTAAGACTTGAGGTCTACAGGGCGGTGACTGTGAAGAATGCCGTCAGGATTTTTTGTTCACACAGGTTCTACACGGTGACACATCCCAGAAGACGGCATTCTTAAATAAATTTGTAATTTAAAATTCAGCTCAATTACTTAATTTTTAAACCTGCACTGAATCATCTCTTCCGTAAGAAGCCACAAGAATTTTTAATTCAGATATTTATAAAATTAATCGCCCAATGAAGGACTTCGGGGGGTTCCTATATGAATGCAAAGGGCCCTGCGAACAGCGTTGCCATACCTCCTCCTCTCTTCCCATTAAGAAAAGAGAAACGGTTCATTCCGTTATTCTACGACTCTGAATCAACTGATCTTACTGGGAAGTTACAACGAAACACAAAAGACGTGAAGGAAGCCTGCGACCAGTGGCGTGCACACGCATCCAAATGTCAGCTGAAGCGCTATAAATAGCAGTTGGCAGCCCTTTCTACATTGTTCCACAATACATACATAACGCGAAGTACGAACAGACTCAGAGGTTGGGATACTGGAACCTTGTAACTAAGGAGCCCATGCTTTTGGACAATCCTGTTCTCAAGATCACACGCCACTGCTAATGGAATATCCTTCGCGTCCGGGCTGAGAATACTTTCGTAATCAACCTTTTTAAAGACTAAATTACTTCACAATTTTACATAAAATTTCAGTCCGTACCTCACAGGAAACATTAGGTCTCCGCTACAAAGCCCAACCGGTTAATGCTGTTTAGGGAAACAGTCGCTGTTTGCTGTGTGAACCATACGGAACACATAGACACACTCTGTGGGCAGAATGCAGAGTTTTGGTGTGTTAGGTGGTATATATGGTAACCACTGGTCTTTAAAGGGTTAAATCGTCTCTAGCACTGCAGATTCGGAGGCCACTCACCCCCTTTCGGGCCCCGAGAGAAATGAGAAAGTTCTGGAAGTGACAGTTTGCTCATGTGGGTGTGATTCCGAACGGGACTCCAATGCGCAGAATTCCAGCGTCACAAATCTTGTATTTTTACGGCTCTATTTCGGCAATGTGACGGGTGCATGGACGCCCCTATCAGAATTGTTCTACTGCCTACACTAAATCTCACGCATGTAAAACTTATATATATATTTAAATGCGTGAGATTTATATTTGTCATTACAAAACTTGAGGTTACCGTAGCAACAAATTATCGTGCGTCAATATTTTGCATGGCTGTAAGTTACGTGGCGGGTGATGAACGAGCGAGCAGTCATGCTTCAGTGACTCGTGTCTGCTCTGTGGGTGCTCATATTTCGATGTGGTTATGTGAACTGCAGTACAATATAGTACACAAAGGAGAGTGTTTACGGTTGACTGTTTGTGCGTGTTATTTGCAGGAGACGGCTCAGACGTCGACCTCGACGTCTCATTCGATAACATGTGAAAGAAGACGGGAGAAAGCTTGTGTGGCAAATTATGAGAATTCCAGTCGAATTTTCAACGGGCCTTCCTCAGATCATCATAACAATTCTCCCTGTGCTTAACTGACTAAAACCTACGCCATTAAGACGCGTGGGGTAGCGGATGCATACGTGTACATCCACGTTTTCTTCACCTCGGTACTGGTTGGAAGTGAGTGGTTAGCTTCGAGCCCTGGCCGCTTTACTCCCGGAGGAAGATAACCCATTGGATAGGAGGTTGGATGGGCCCCCAGAACCGGTCTGGACGTGAAGAAAATTTGTGATCCTACCGGGACTCGAAATCCGACCTCTCGGCCGACCATCCCGTAGCCAGTCGCTATGATAATGGCTGGTGGTGGTGGTAGAAGCAGCAGTAGTAGCAATAGTAGTAGCAGCAGTGGTAGTACCTATTTTCAGATGAAGTAGAGACTGTCCACGCCTAACACTCGCAGTCGCTCACCTGGGAACATTACACGTGGCATGTGGCTGTACAGCAAAACCTCGCTAAACGGGATTATTTGGGGGGGGGGAAGCCATCAGAATTATTGAAGCGAAAGGCAGTCCTAAAAGGCAAAAATTAAAATGAAAACTTAGAAAACAAATTAATAAGAAATGTAATGATGATGAAAATAATTTATTATTTAGAGCCAGTATTTAAAATCTCATCTGCTGTCCAAAAACATAAAAATTAGAATATATAAAACTATAATTTTGCCTGTGGTTCTGTATGGATGTGAAACTTGGTCTCTGACATAAAGGGTGGAACACAGACTGAGGGTGTTTGAGAACGGTGCTGAGGAAAATATTTCGATCGAAGAGGGATGAAGTGACAGGAGGGTGGAGAAAACTGCACAATGAGGAGCTTCATAACTTGTACTCTTCTCCAAGTATAATTAGAATGATCAAGCCAAGGAGGGTGATATGGTCGGGGCATGTAGCACGAATGGGGGAGACGAGGAATGCATATAGGATATCGGTGGGAACGCCAGAAGGAAAGAGACCACCGGGAAAACCAAGGCGTAGATGGGTGGACGGGTGCATTTTTGCGCCCGGACGATGCCAGCCGTTCCCTGGCGTTGGCGTGTTTCAGCGCTTTGATACACTTTTCCCTTCTTTGCTGTCTTGACACTCATCAACCAAAGACATATTTATGATAGTTTCTGTGTATGGTTGTGAAGAACCCTTCTTGACTTTGCGGGGGTCTATATTACTGTCAGAACC